GGGGGATACGATAAACGATATCTACCGAATGGGTGGTCCAGATTTTATATCAAACAAAACTTAATTTGTGACTTGTTTATCAATGCAGCGAGTCCATGTATACAAGCCATAGATTTTTCGAAGTCAGCATCCAACCCGTCGTAACCGATGGTTAAAGACACTGAGTGATATGGCTGAGTGTCGCAAACAGTGACGTTCACGCATCTTCTCGATTTATTTGCAACCTTAGACCAATAAAATTCTCCATTTTCTGTCCGACTCTACTTTCCACCTTCCTGTCTTCTCCTATTCTTCATCCAAATGGGCAGCCAAAAGACAGCAACTAAAAGCGGCGCACGATAGCGCATGATAATGGTTGTACAAACTGAACTGAAACTGATCCAACCCGTGCGATCTTTGTATCTTTAAAAGCAGTTTACACCTCGAGGGCATCTAATACACTCATTTGAGACGGTTACCATTGCCACCAGGCTGTCCTGAAGCCAGTTAGTACGCCTCCCACCGGTAGCGCTAGAATCAGGGTTTTCCGGTTGCTCTGAGTTTTCTAGCGGCCTGTGCCCCATTGCCGTAGCTGTAGCTCTGGAGGTTGAACTCTCACCATCGTGATTTAGTGAAAAGAGTCAATAACGAGAAGGTAAAGAATACGACGTTTTCAGCCGATACTTCAAACAATGTTTTGCATGAGAATATTCCTTGAAAGGAGGACAAGACCGTCACAAGGGGTCACATTAAAATTAGCACGATTTTGTGCGCAGCAATAGTGATGCGGTTCACCATTGTCGCTCAGGTGCAGCCCTAAAACCGAATTAATGGTAAAAGGTTCGTTTTTATTATCTAGGTTTAATTTAATTCCAACCATTACAATTATCATTTTTTACTCTATGCTTCTACCGTCCCTCCACCCGGAATAACAGGATAATTTGAATGAGCTAATTCGTTCGCATGATCTGATTACTCAAGTCGTTGCCTCGCTTTTGCGATATGAACAATGGGCTATTCAACTTCATGGTGATCTCCTCAGTGCTGATAGTCAAGACGAACTTGGGTTTCGACACAGCGAGGTAAACTGAGACCATGTTATTTTTGCTTCAACTATCCATCCAATTTGTGCTATTTAAAGTTATTCGTTTCATTAATATACAGTTTAGTCAATCTTGATTCAATAAATCTTTAACGCGATTGAGAAACATAAATAATCTGGTGAATTTCGTCGTGCACAGATTAGACGAAATGAGAACTGGTTGAGTCTCATCCAAAGTGGTAATCCGTCTACTCAAATGAAGATGAAACCCTTGATTTCATTGGAGGATCGTAAGCAGATCACCACGTTGACCATTAGGTATTTGTTCAGGCCGTTTTTTATATTCTCTGTGCCACACAACCCAGCTTTGCTTGCTTGTTAGTTCATAACATCCCGCTCGTCTCAGCACTCGCATCCCGAGTTATAATTTGGTTGGAGGCATTCGGTACCTAACTACTTGTTACATGAGGGTATTTGGGGGGGGGGGGGAGTGATTCACTTATAAAGTGGATTATATTGGTTGTGCTATATCGTGCATAGGTGAAATGAAAAATGGTCAGTCAGCTGGCTAGGCAAAGCAGCTGTGCGATTCCCGCTTCTTCCTCCCTGTACAATATGTTTCTCTTTTCTCCCCCTTTGACTCATTTTTTCCGATCGACACAATGGTTAACGGACCCCTTTTGATTTTTGTTTTTAGGTGGTAAAGCGTCATTTTGAGCTGTTGCATTTTCTGCTCAAAAATGCAGAGCTGACGTTAAATGTGGAACGGGCCAAAGCGCTGTGGGAGAATCTAATTGGGCATCCCAGGGCGGCTGCTTATGATCGAGAGGTAAGCATAGCTGCGTGATTGTCACTCTTCCTCCACTACGATTGATTTCGGTGTGTTTACCTATTAGGCTTTGTCTCAGGGATACTAAGTCTTGGAGAATATCGTAGTACTCATAGGAAAAACATGGTGTAACGGTTTATCCTATCTTAATTGAAGGAGTTCATTTGGGGACGGATCATAATTGTTGCTGGGAATTCGCGCTTTGGGTACGCTGCGTCTAGTCGTTTTGACTTGGTCGGGCGTCATTCAAAATTGGGTANCGTTCTACTCCGGATCGGATCCTCGTTCAAGTCCATAAATGTGTACTGCGGGTGAGATACAACAACATTGAAACAGCTATAAGTATATATGTATGCAAGTATAGTTACTAAAAAATCTATCAAACCGTGCAAATTGAACTTTAGGTCAAATAAATGGCATGCATTCTGCAGTGAATTACTAATAGTCTAATCAAATTTATTTAGTTTACCACATAATATTTATCCATTGGTTTGAACTTGTCTTTTTTGAGTTTTAAACTAAAATTGAATACAAGATTTGTGAAAACTAAAATCACAACTGTTGGCTGCGGCGACGGGTTCGCGATTTCTACTCATTCTTATTTATTCTCATCTGAATTCTTCTCGTGGACACCAATATCACCAGTGTGTGAGGTCAAATTGATAGTATTACCTTATCTGTTTGCCCCATTTTTGTGCAATAAAATTATACGTGGAAAAGTTACTCTCCGATATTAAGCTCACGTCAACTATTCTAAATGTGTCTAAATTTTGTAGTCACAAATAATCGGACAGTGCAATCAGTTCGCGATCATGGAAAATTTACTGTGCGTTAAACATCAATGTACGAACAAGTGACAGTTCTCTGTTATGCATTTCAAATAGAACATCTGTTCTTTTCGAAAAAAACTCTATCTTAATTTAAAATGACATCTGTTGATTATTGATCACTTTCATCCACATTGGTTCTGTTTCATGCGTTTTGCTTTCACACTTCTACCTCCCCCCTTCCATCTTACTCGCAGCAATGCTTCGCCTGGTTTACTGCCAGTATGAGCCACCTGGAACCGGAAGCTCAAACTACACTTTTTACCAAACAAATACTCAAATCGAACCCGGCTCTGTTTCGATCCTACGCGGGTACGTGCACTACCATATTTACACGCTCGATCGGCAAATGGTATCGTCAAGCTACGCATTGATCTCATTGAACTTACTTGCCCCGTAGTTACACACTGCTCCATGATCATGTCCGAACGTTCCATTCGATCCGTTGTACATCGGGTCAGAGTGTGCAAGCAAGCGTTAAATCACATGTGCCTGCCACATCAGGGCGGTGAGGGTTACAAACAGAAACCGAGTTTCCACGTTCGGCATCTGATTTGACCTGCATTCACGGACCCGGTTATCAAATATACTACAGATTATGGTCTTCTATGAAAGATGACGTACTTCATGCGTAGTATCTGTGGCTCACTAACCATTCCACTCTATAGTCAGTATGGTTTCTAGCTCTTTGTGTTATTCATTACTTTCATTTCATTCTCACCTGACGCATCATGTACGATATCAACTAAATCCTTAATTACCTTGATCGATACAAAGTTTTATCTACTGTAAACAAGCTGTTTTAAGACTGCTGCGCAACATCATATACCGTATCATCGTTAGTCCTGCGTATTCCAACATAAAAATCCGCAGTTGCCTTTAGTGGCCTATAGCTACCCGGAAAGATGGGGTTGTGCACAATTACAACTGAAGGTCTCCATGGTTTATGTTCTTGCTTAGTCTAGTTGAGACAGTGTTTATACTGGGTTGAATAGACTCTGTTACGGACTGAATTCTTCAGGTCAATTAGGAATTACTAGCTAATAAATACAGGGTTTGGTATAATGATCTACCAGCCTGAAGTAATCAACGTCAATAGTGTACTTATGAGCAAAATAATAACTTTCAAGATCTGAGAGTAGACAAATTTATACTTGCAACTTAACTTTGTTCTCTTTTCCCCTGTCCATTATCCTATAACTCGTTAGGTTTTGAATGCTTCAAAGCTTTTTTTGAAAAGGTCAATCTTCATGAAGGTCGTATGAAACAGGTGTCCAAAATGTGGGTAAGTTTTAAAGGTCTCATAACATGTCTCTCATTTTCTTTTTCTAAATAAATTTTAGGTAATTATCCAATAATGACGGACCCAGCATGTTGGTTAACACCAGAAAACCCGCACAGCGAAGTTTAGCTTGCAAACTTGACTTTCTTCGGACCACAATCTTAATGCTGTCACTCATAGTGGGTGTTTTGATTATTTGGAGACGCTGTACCGCTGTAGTTTGACGCGTTGCTGAAAGTCTGGTTAAACGAATCATATTTTCACTTATGTGTACCACATTTTCCAAGTAATCAGGTGGGCTTTGCTGTATATCAGGTGATCGATCAGCGCAAATGCAGTTGTTTCTCTGGTTCACACTGTCCGAAAGTTGTTTGTCATAACTGGCATTTCAGTCTTATGATCTGGTTATTACGTTTTACTACATCTCTTTCCAACGATTGCCCCTGATTCTGTTGTTTTTTTTTCAAATGGAACGTCCATTCCCGATTGCTTGTCAAATGTTTCCTAAGGTTATACAAATCAATATCTTGATTTACATGGGTGAATTTGGAGTGTATCTCTCAAATCACTGTTTCCTTGCGAGGGAAATATGGCTTAGCCGGATGCTACATTTCTCCCGTAATGTTGTTATTGCATAGAAGCAACTGCACTGTATTTCTTACCCATAAAATTTCCCTGATGTTGGCGGTATTGACATTTTTTCGCGTATGAAATTACAATGTCTGATCGTTATTCCACTGAGTGATGCCCAGGAGAGAAATTTATCTACTCTGGTGCGTAATTTAGTCATTATGGTTTATGGAGCGCGTTGTAATTTGGTGATAAAAATACAGTGGAACAGGTTCTATCCACGTAATTGTTATTTATGCAATAGGTTTCAAACGTTTGTCTCAAGAATTTCTTTACTTATTCGTTTACTTGTCAAAAAATAAACATTGAGCAGCACGTGGACAAACCGGACCTAATTGGATTAGATTTTCTGTGGGATCTGTATCTGGCTCTGCCTTCGCTTGATGCAAGCTTAGACGGTATTCACATGAACACTGCCCAATTTGACGATACAATGCAACCGGAGCATACTCGCAAAGTGAGCTCGGCAGTCGATTCAGTAGTTCCGTCCGTACACACGAGCAGACAGACCACTCCAAAGAATAGTGACACCTCTGCACCGACCATCAGTAGTCCTGCGATGGAATCAAATGCAGTGAAGTTGGCGCGCCAGCTCCTATTGGATGTTCACTGGGGTCAGCTTGCACCAAAGCTTCGCCGCGACTCTGATGCATGCTACAAGCGTTTCTTCGATGCCTGTCGACGCCGACTTGAGGTAAGACAATGTTTGTGCAATTTGATCGAGATCCTCTGACTCTGTTTTGATGTCTGTGCTAAGTTCATTTTGTATTTTTATGTGCTTATCATGTGTGAAACCATAATAACAGCTCCAATGCGAGACCCCGGTTGCCAATTATTGGGTCCAAGAAAAACCTATAAGGAGTCAAGGTAAAAAAGCCAACTAAATAATGCTTTGAAAATGCGGGACTCAAATCTTCATGAAAAGCAAGATGGTTTTGACACTCCCACGAGTAACACGGGTTTTTCGCCAAAAGTAAAAGTGGGTTGATGACTGTTTTAACTCGGTTTGCTTGGGTTGGTTTGACTAGAGCACATTACACAGTCGTGCCCATAAGCTTTTTGTTTGTCACTTATACAAATGTATTTTCATAGACCGAATTTTCCCGTAAAATGTGTTTTCAACTTTTCTGGCTTTAGGTGGTCATCCCTGTACTTGTATCTGCGTAGTACCCGTCTGCTATTAGTTTATAAAACGTCAGTCTAACTCACAATCAACAAATAACAGATAACCCTATTTAACCATTTACTAATAAGCTTTTTTAGATGTACATGGTTCAACCGTTTTGGTAATTATGTGGAGGCCGAATAAATAATAGAAAAAAATCACTGCACTGATCTTTCAATGATTTATGGATTATTTACTTTTGCTCCGAATATCTAAGCAAATGAATCTCACTGTTCCATGGTATGACTTTAATAACAGGAGCACCTCCTCCCTCGTGCAATAGGGGGAGGGTAGATTCTGAAACCGAAATAGATTTACGTGCTCGCGGTACTTTATGCCTTCTTCGTTGGCCTTGCCAATGGTGAATCATTAGTTAAATTGAAGTTGACTCTGAACACTTCGTATTTACTCAATGAAAACAGTAATAATTGAACCAGATATCCTGCTCAAAATCGATTTGTGTTGTCCACTCGCTCTCTCTGCTGGTAAAATTATTCCGCATGGTATCGTATTTGTTGATTGCTTTAAGAAATTGTCGGAATATGCGAAAGTGAATACAGAACCCGAATAAAAATTTGCTGTCGGTAAATTCATGCCTGGGGTGAGCTGGATGCATGCTATTTTTGCTCTCAGTCCATTACTACCCGTAGTCCCGTGTTCACCGAGGGTGTTGCTGAGTGAATGAGTGAAGAGGAGAGAGAGTGAGCAATTTGATACTGGGTCATTTTTCAACAAAACTAGCTAATGGCTTTGATGTCCGCTTGTTGCAAGCAGTTTTCTGAAATGCATTGAATTTTGTTTTCCTTTTTTTCGAACTCAGTCTCTAATTTGTCTTCACTGATCCATGAAAGCCCATTTGGCCATATGGTATTTGGTTTGAGAGAGTGCATACGACAGTGTTTATTTGAAGGTCCTAGTTCGTTATTTTGTCATCAAAATTATGGCATGCTACTTTCATGAAGATAGTTCACTTTAATTTATATTATCATGCCTTTCAAAAAAATGTCGTTTACTTTACTTATATCGGATCCTCAAAGTTCAAGATGATGGTAATTTTCATTACAAAGCATCGATACCTGCATTACTTATTTTTTTCTCAAGATTTTGTACGAGGAAACATATATATATATATATATATATATATACATAT